AATGCAATATCTTTTGATTCTTCTGGATAATATATGATATCAACTGAATATCAAAATATAAAATTATGGAGTTTCAAAAATGGAAAAATTAAGTATTTATAGATTTTTTATGGACATAGTAAATGGATTTAGTGTTTATTATATAGTAAGAAATAAAATTTCTTTATTTCATGTTCTGGAGACAAAAATTTAGATGTTGGAAAAATTAGAACTTTAATGATTGGATTAGTTTAGAACCCTATAAAAAACATACTGATTGGGTAATGTGTCTTGTAATGAATAAGAATGAGATCTACTCTTTTCTGGAAGTAGTGATTATTCAATAAAAGTATGGAAGCTTGATTTTAATTAAAATGAATTAACATTTCTTTATACATTAAATAAACATAATTATTATGTTATTTCGATAAGTTTAAATTAATTAGAGAATTATTAGTATCATGTGCATAAGGGAAGAATTAGATTATTATTTGGGAAAGAAAAGAAAAAATACTTATGAATTTAAATATTTTGTTGTACTAGGTTAAATTATAATCTAAAATTTCGTTATTTTTTGCAACCACCTGATATTTAATTGATTAAATAAATCAATATAAGAGAATTCCATTCATCTATAAATAATCAATTTATAATTATCGGTTAAAGGATAGTTTTATTACTGGAAATTCATTTATTTCGACAACAGGTGATTAAGGAATAGACATGATATATTTTTTTGAATTAATTGAAGGTATATATTAAGAAATCTAACATAAGTCAATTCAATTAATGAATAATGATTAGGATTATGATGAATATTTCTTTTCTATCATATATAATAAATAGAGGAACTTGATATTAGTAAGACATAAATCGTAAATTTATTTAATTAGAAATATTAATAATGGAAACTTTAAAATAGTTGATTAATTGAATTGTAATACATCAGATATTTATTGGACAATAACAGATAATGGACAATATTTTGTTTTTTGGATAGTAAAAATAATGGATTTTCAATTTATGAATTATAAAGTTAATGAAAATAGTCTAATTTTTATTTATATTGAAATCTATATATTCCTAATGACCCCAAGCAATTATGAAAAATAACTACATTAATAAGTTTTTATGGCTCTTTTTATTTCTACTTATAAAATATACATATAAATATTAATATTTACTTCTTTTAATTATCTGAATCTAAGAATATAGAATTAAGTATCAAATATTGATTTTATTTTACTTTTTGAATTAGAGAAATATTGTAATTCTAATAGATTTTATTGATATATCCATTTAAATTCATTAAAAGAGAAACCATTCAATTTAGTTGGATTCTAAAAATATGATAATAAAAACAAGAAATAGGAAATATAATAAAAAAGACTGTATTTGAAGTTCTTTATTATAAATAAATCCATATGGCTAATCCAATAATATTGATGCTTATCTTAGCAGCTTTAATTTCTTTTTTAAAGAGATAAGATTGAATCTAGTCAGTAAGTTTTAAATTAGAGCTTCTTTCATGTAATATTTGAAATTAACTCTATCCTATTTTATGTAAGTGATTTATAAAAGGGATTCAATTTTTTTTTCTAAGCAATAAAAGCGCAAAACATAATTAAAATTGTTTAATTTTTTTGTTTACTCCTATGTTCATCTTAAAATATCTATCTCTTTAGAAATATAAAAAATTACTCTAATTTTTGGTTATTTTTGATATTTTTACTATTTTTCACAAATGTTGATGCTATTAATTTCATATTACTTTCTTTCATCCGCAAATCTTACTCTTCTAAAAATTAATTTATTTAATTCCAACATGTATTTTATACATTTATCTTTAAAAACCTTCATTTTTTTCTTAGATCCACTCTAATGTTACAGAATCAATATAGAGTTGACTAAAACTATATTTATTTATAATGATTTTATCAAATAATATTTTGATTGATTACTGTTATTTGTAATTGTCATCTGATTATTATTATTCAATTATTTGGAGGTTAAAATAATCAATAGATCATGATCAGATCTTCTTTGCCAGGTATTTTCTTTTTCTATGAATATACTGATCTTGATTTCTCCATTTTTATTTATTCTTTAAATATTTTTACAGCACCTGCTTTCTTAAATACTAGATTGATATATTATAAACATTGCTTTTGAAAGCTTTTATGATTCATTTAGAATTAAGATTGATAAGAAGTTTTGTTTTAATGACTAAAATTAGATTTTTATTGCTAAATATATTGGAATTTTTTATATTATAATGATGATAATTTAGTAATTTGGATTTTATTAAAAAATACATTGAGTTAATTTTTATTGAAATTCTTATTTTTATGGAGCAATTTAATTTTAAATGTTTAAATACTTGGGATTTAAAGAATACAATAATTTATGAAACACTGAATTTTACCTGTCTTAAAGTTATTTTAGAATTAAAAATATACTGCAATTTTATTATTATATTTAAATTAATATTAAAATTTTATTTTATCAATAATTCTTTAACTTTATTTTTAATAGAATAAATAGGCTTTAAATTTGTATTCTCTCCTGAAAATAGAATAATAAAATGAATAATAGGATTCGGTAAAACAACTTTACTCAAAAAAATTAGTAATAAAAATCTAGAAACAAATCTGGGAGGACTCAAGATACTAAAGAACCAAATATCAGTCACAGTGCTTATGGGAAAGGATTTCTATTGTTAGATGCACCTGGATTTTGTTGTGATTGTAAATAACTAAATAATTGCATTGGAGTATTAAAATCTATAACAGATGAACCTATAAACTAACTGCTTGTTGTAGTTAATTTTCATTAATACACTAAAAAGGAATTGAAAAGGATTATAAATATTTTCAAAAGATATAAGGATATTATTACAGTAGTTGTTACTTATTTTCATCATTCTGATGATTAACATTAAACTAGAGAAAAAATTATTGTAAAGTAAATAGAAGTCGAATCAGTGATATTTAATTATAAAAATACATCAGGAGAAGAGCTTTGCAATTAGATCTATAGAATAAATTCTAATTCAAAATAAGGAAGGATATTTGAGTTAAAATAAACAGAACTATTTCGTAATTTTACTCTGTTTAATTAAATGATGACATATTTGAAAAATTCGATAAATGCAAAATATTAACTTATGGTTTAGATTTAAGACATCTGGAGAAAAGTTCAAAAAGTAATTGAAGATTTTCCAATTACTCATTCGAAAATTTCAGAGTTAGCACATTTAATAATATTATATATCAAAGATAAAGTTTTTTTATTTAAAGAAAAGAGGATCGACTTATTTGAAGAAATATAGATAAAACCCTGTAAAAATTAAAAATTAATATCTTTATTATTACTACATACAAGTTCTCAATATAAAGAATTATAAATTTAAGCAGATATTGAGATTAAGAATTGTTTATCTTTACAAATTTAGTGTACCATTTATTATGTATTATAGAAAATGTAATAAGGTGGGTTTTCAGATATTAATTTTATTAAATAATGTCCTTATTGTGGAGAAATTTGGATATAGCCAAATAAATTTGAGGGTTTAATATTTTGTGGATCATCAAAACCTAAAGAAATTTATCTTCAAAAAATATTTTAAATAAAAATGTTAGGCTGCGGGAAGTAATTGTGATGGAATGATATAAAATCTTTACCATTATCCTTTTTGATTAATGAATCTAATATAGAATCTTTTTAATTATTTATCTGCTGCTTTATACTTAAATTCTCAATTTATTCATTAAAATTAGAATTGAAGTAGATCATCTGAAGAGGAAAATAAATATATTAAAGCAGCTAGGAAAATTGAAGCTTTAATAAAAGAGAAAAAATTATAATAATTTGATTTTGCTATCATTTAAATATATTATAATTGAAATAATTATTATTATGGTATATTTCAAAAATTTTAATAAAATGTGTTTTATTAATAAAACTATCCTAAGCTCACTCATAATAATAATAATACAAGTTGATGGTAGATTATTTAAACCAGACACCAGAATTCTTAAAATTGATAAATTATTTTTGCCATTTCTGATCTTCTGAATTCAAAATTGCCAAAACACCAAATATTATTGATAAAACTCCCAACTGTATATGAAATTTCTAATCTAAGTTTTCTTAAATTAATGACATTCTTACAAATATATTGAATTACAAAAAAAAGGTTATAGTTATTAGAGTAGATCATAATTTAATAATTGTATATATAAGCAAACTAATATAATAAAGATTTTAATAAATATATCTTTATATTTTTTAGATATCATTCGATTTCTGTTTATTTTTTTAATAATCCCAATCAAGAATAATTATAACCAATTATTATTTTTCATCATAATTTTAAAATTGTAACAACACTGAATCCTTTTTGAAAAGTTTTTTATTATTATTAATTATTATTATTACTGCCTATTAGCTGCAAGTTCTAAATTAAGTA